CGAGCAGCTCTACTCTTGAAAGAATTTCAGACAGATGGAAAGCAGCACAAAGCAAACAAAAGATGAAGGGCTTCACACTGGGCAATTTAAAACATTGAACCAGCAATTGCCACTTTACTATCATGAATGAGGCTGTGGCAGCTAACACCAAAGCTGAAGAAAGGAAAAGCCAAGGACTGTTGTATTATGCAACTCAGAGATTAGTCACATATAGCTACCATATTTCTGAAACCTGGGCCAGGTGAGACTTCAGATGGAGTTCTCAACAAAACCTTCACTTTGAGCAGGATGCAACTTTAAGCAGAATTTTCACAGCTATTTAGAAACATTAAAAATCATAAGATAAAATCTGCTCCCTTGCTAGTATGTCAATTATGTGGACATGTCATATGATGTGACATCATATGACAATGATGTGGACATCAATTAACTGGAGGTGTACAAATTAGGATTAATGGGTTCCAACCTGTATGTTTATACATCACGTGCAGATGTCGAGGAACCATCACTGACTAAGGTTAAGTCTCTGACATTTCTACAATAAAACATGAGCAAAATAAACATTGCTTTGAGAGTAAGAGCATGCTTGAATCTTTACTACACTCATTCTAAAAATCAACATAATTAACCTTCTTTTTCACCAGAAGAAGGAAAAAAAAAAAAAAAGTAGAATTCTGTTGGAAAATACTACTAAGGTATTAGTAATTTTGAGACCTACATGTTAACTTTCTACCATAAATACACATTTGTGATGAGACATTCCTATTCTGTATGTACTTTACCAACTAAATTCAGCCAGCTTCAAATCTAACTACATATTTCAGTATGTCTATGAAAATCTTGTTAGTTTTCTCTACTCTTTCTAAACTACTGCTCATAATTTTAGGAAAAAAAATATTTAAAACACATAAACTGTGCTGATCAGCAAGATACAGATGGATATAATAATCCCCGTTTTCCATAGCCAAGGATACATTCCCTCTTATTTTAAATGCAAAATAACACATTAGCCTCTTGAGAAATGTCCAGTAACTATGAAATGCAGATTATAGTTTAATAGAAGTTTCTGTAGCAGACGCTGTGCATGGCCATGACGTGGCAGATGCTCTATATATAACTAAGAAAGAAATATTATGCATCATTTGAGACTGCAGCATTCATCTGGAACAGGATTTTGTCTCATTATATTCCAGAAAAAATGAAACCTTATAAAAGATCCTAAAACCTACTAGCTCCAGTCAGTAGATATTTTTTCCAAATATTTCCCCATTTGTGTGTGGAGTTCCTCCCCATTGTGTGTGTGTGGAGGGGAAGGCTTAAAAGCTAGGGCCTTAAGGAAAAAAAAATGAGCTTTTTTATTTGCCTTTAGCTTTTAGAATTTTTTGAGGGGTTGTGTATACTAGCCTGCCTTCAAAACCAGCAGTTAGATTCTTCTATTTTCAAACATGACCTGACAAACAGATGTAATAATTTGATTTCACTATCACAGTCTTAAGGGGAAAAAAACAAACAAACAAAAAAACAAAAAAAAACAGATTTGTAGGGCTCAAAGGAAAATCAAAAGCATTGGCAGCATCAGATACAGCAATTCTTTGCATACAAGCCCTGCCTTCAAATCATCACTCTCTTAAAAGCAATCCATTTTTACTCTAGGCATATTGAAGATTTTATGTTAAATTCCTAGTCTTATACACAGTACTGCAGTGGTAAGGGGTGAGTTTTTACAGAAAAAAATATCTGTTGTGGATCACAGCGAAAGCTACGGCTATTATTATACGGTATAATAATTTTTATTTATACTAAAAAATTGTCTTGCTACCTCAGAGGTTATGAAGAAGAGGTCAGGGATGAATTTGGAGATTCCTTCCTCATTTAATCTACCAAGTAATGTTTCTTGTTAATTTTTTAGGAAAAAGGAGGCTCCCAAATGGCACAGGACCCCCCATCCTTTCTATTAAAGCCTCCAGAAGATGGTGACAGCCCTTTTCCATCACCCTTACACTTATCCTATAGAGAACTGCTGTGCCCATAGGGGCAGTGGAGCTTTTTAGTGCAAAGTCTGCACAGTAAAGCAGCTGGAAAGGGGTAATGCCCCAAACCACCACAGCTGTTTTCTAAAAACGTCTGTGCTGAAGCTTCAGGTTTGCCTTGGCCCCAGCTCAACAAGGTTCTTCTATCTGAAGGCAATTACTTTTAGCTCCTGTATCTAACCAGTTTCTAGCAAAGTTTTAAATAAGGGTGGAAGAAACCCTACCAATGTGGGGAGAAAACAACTAAATCACAAGGGGACACAGGCACTCCCTGCTATACAGATGGCTGAACTACAGATTCTGGACTTCTGCAATTGTTTTTAAATGCTATAGTGGTTGGGAGCATTTCCCAGCATCTTGCAGCATCATAATGCCTAATTTCACCCTTGCAAAACCATCCAAGAGTTCTAAGTATATTAATACTCCAAATGACTCACCTTCCATAGAAAAAGGGAACAGACTGGGGAATTCTAGAAAAGAAGAGTAGTGTGGCCATACATATAGCTGGGCAAAGTTAACTATGGAAAGAGCAGAAAATCAAGG